TTTCCGTTGTATACAATGAGTTTGCAGTCGTTGGATGAGACTCTTCACTGCCAGGAATAAACCTTCCTGGAGCCAGCCCATCGCTTCTCAGATTTCTGCTTTTAAGTGCCCGAGCAAAAGGAGAAAAAAATAAAGGAGCCAAGTCCATCTTAGCAGAAACAGGAGGAATTGGTGCCAAATTGCTGCCTGGCAGCTCGAGGCAGCAGGTGGGTCTGGCCAGTCTCAGCCCAGACCTGGGCTGGGGGTTGCTGGGCTGGCAGCGGGGTCAGGGATGGGGAGGGAGGGGGGTGGTGTGGGGAGCTGCCCAACACAGCCTCAGCCAGCACTTTGTCTTCCTTGAAAGGCCCCCAAGTCAAAAAATGAGTGAGAAATACTGTTAAATAAATTATATAGATACACACACACACATATCCTACCCCAAACCCACTCTGAGTGCTGGATTGCAAAGTTAGGGGGTCCCCAAGCTGTCTCTTTTTGCTGCATGTTGAAAACACGTTTGATTTCGGGGTGAAAACACCCCAGTGGTGCCCAGGGGAGGCAGCCCCAGGGCTTTAATATTTCCCTTCCTCCCTGCCCAGCTCCAGCCACCTCCTGGGGACCTGAGTCCCTGCAGTGCACACGAACCCCCGGGGCACATATCCCCAATTTAGGGGGGTTTAGACCCCGCTGCAGGGACCACCCCATCAGCTGCTGCCTCATCCCCTCGCCTCGTTACCACGCAGGGGTTCAGAAGCAGCTGCCAGCACCAGCAAGACCCCTCAATCTGGCATCAGAAGTGCCCTACACAGCAGAGGATTTTGGATTGTGGGGTTGAGGGGGTTTTTTTTTCAGCTCGTTGGCGCGTTGCAATTTTTTTAAGCGGCCAAAACTCCCTCGAACAGATGCAAGGTGCCTAATTGGGAGCTAATTGTTCCCATCACCACGTGCCTGTGAGAAGTCCGAGCCTGGCGCTGGTAATAACTCAGCACCCATCAAAGGGAACAGGACCAGGCTCTTGAATATTTCATGCAGAAAATAGCCGAGCTGCGGAGATTACTCCAGACATGCTTTTCACAGGCAATTTACAGGGACCAAGGCAAAATGGCTTTAATAGACACGAGCATGGAAAGGCAGCTTGGAAATGTGTGTCCTCCCCCCTGCAGAGCAGAGGATGTTGGAGAAGCTGAGACAACATGCAAAAACTCAGCAAGACATGAAAACCCCCCCAAGCCTGCTGGGCATCCTCCTCCCAGCGCTCGCTCTGCCTGCTCGTCCTACTGGAGAGGAATGTTTCGGGAGCCAGAAGATGCTGAGATGAAAAAAATTAGCTTCAGCCCCCAAGAATAAATTCAAAGAGCCCTGAGGGATGGAGGTCAGGTAAGGGAATGAGAGGGGAGCTGGAGCAAAGCTCCACTTTTTCTGGATGACCTTCTACCAAAGCGAGTAAATAGGTCACGGGGGAAAAGAAAACAAGAAAAAGGATCAATGGAAATGTTTGTTTTATCCAGGAAAAGTTATCTGCCACCTCTAGAGGCTGGAGTCACCTGCTCTGCTGTGAGCCAGGAGGGGTTTATTGCTGCTTTTAGTGCAAATGGTATCTCTGCAGGAACAGAGCATCTCTCTGTAGGATGGACTCTGGTCCCACAGCCCAAAGCTGCCCCTCTTTAGGGACGTGGAGAAGTGGGGGAAAAAAAACACACACACAAAACCAGAATGAACCAGAGAGAAGTGAAGGAGAAATCCCCAAATTAAAGCAGAGGACAAACAGACAAGAGACCAAGTGCTACGTCAGGAGCCGTGACTCACAAAGTTTAGTTATCCACATGTATTTTTAGGACATCACGTTTCCATCCCTCCTAGATAAGAGCAGCTGAAAGACTTGGGGAGGGAGGGGGGGTTTATCCTCTTGCCTCTGCTCAAACCCTAT